CTCAAAGGAGTTTTGTCAAACGGGATTGCCAAGAAATAAAACCTAACAAATTTAAATTATACGTTTGCTCAAAACTTACTAATGAGTTTTTATATTCTTTTTCAAATGTTTGAAAAATCCCATATTTCAAATCATTTGTAGTACTTTTAAAATGTTTGAAACATCTCGCATTTCAAATCGTTCCAAATAAAAAAGATTCTCATATAAAAATTAATTCCAAATTTGATTCTTATAGATTGTGTATCTTGTCTTTCTAGCATAGGGGGGGGGAAGAAAATAAAAAAAGGAAACATAATAGAAATAATGATATGACCGCAAATCTACTTTCCAAATAATATATTAAAAATCTATTTTTTTTTTCAAAATCAATGAGACTAATTAGTTTATAAAAAAAACTCTTGGGATTAAATGAATTACCATTCCTGAATATGGAATTTATTGGTAAATTTTCCTAATTTTAAAGTTCACAATTAAACATATTTGTTTGCATTTTATAATTTCAAATATGTCCAGAATACAATCTTCTTTGTTATTTATTTATTTATTTATTTATTGAGAAGGGCATTCGGTATTATAATTAGGAATAAAAGTATTTACATTTTAGAGCATGGGGTGATGGAATTAAAATTTAGAATTTAAATTTCTGACCAAACACCCATAAATAAAAGAAGAAATTATAAATATAAAAAAATCCTAAAGCTTGAGCTCGATAACAAATTAAATTCTAATTTTTTAATTGTTTCAATTTAAACTTAACTTTTAAAATAGTGTCAATTCTAAACATTTGTTTCAATTTGTTAGTTATAACTAATGGAAAGGGACAACTTTGATAATTTAACCATTTTTTTTTCTTTTTTCCTTTTACATGTAAATAGTACTTTATGATATATATGGAATTTCATTCTATTCTAAAATAATAATAAAAAAAATAAGAGATTGACCAATAAGTCTTATACTTTAGACTTGTATTCATATAGTCTTATTTTTTTTTTGTAATCCATTTAGTCCTTTTAGATACGTAATGACTCATTTGCGGGTCATATTAAAGTGTCACATTTAGAAAAAGTATACTATTAAATTTTTTAATGTCACATCATACATGTCACGTTAGAGTGTCACATTTTACACTATAGAGTTTTTAATTATTTTAGAGTGTCACATTATACCCGTCGCGTTGGAGTATCACTTGTCACGTTTGGAAAAGTACATTAAGGAATTTTTAATTTTTTTTAGAGTGTCACATCATAGCCGCCACATTGTCACGTTTAAGAAAAATACACTAACGAGTTTTTATTTTTTTTAAAGTGTCACATTACACCCGCCACGTTGTCACGTTAGGGAAAAGTACACTTAAGAGTTTTTATTTTTTTTAGAATAAAAGTTTTGGAGTGTCACATCATACCCGTCATGTTATCACATTTAAAAAAGTATATTAAGGAGTTTTTAATTTTTTTGGAGTGTTACATTAATAACTGCCACATTAGAATATTATATCATACATGTCACATTAATAAAAGGGTATAGTTGTCCACCAAAATACTACCAAAATAAAAAAATAGGGCCATACGGAAAGAAAATCTACACTAATAAGACTTAACATATCAATAGAAAAAATTTGGGACTAATTGAAGTACTTGTTTGTGAGATGAGATTTATTGGTAAATATTCCTAAATAAATAGTGCTACTATTAGCATCCTATCAATTATTTTGGACCCCCTATTTTTTAGTTTATTTATTTATTTATTACAATAATAGCCTTAAATAAAATTACTAAAAAGGACATCAATAATTTTGAGACACCCCATCCCATAATTAAGCTCACACACCCACTACATCAGGAATTAGGGTTTGTGAGAGCCCCCACCTCCATTACCACCCATCCATCTTCTCCAAATCTCACCTTCAACACCTACCTACTCTCAAAATCTTAAAAATCCTTTGGCGGCAATATTTCGATGGTAATGCTGGCAACTATTTGATTATTTACACTTCTCCGGTAATAAAAATAAGTAGAAATTTTTTTGACAACTACAACTCTATGAGATGAGAGGATTACAACAATAAAAGCTCAAATGAAGTTCATAATTTTGATGATATTCTTAGCTCAGATGAGATTGACCTTTTAAGGGTAAATTTCTTGAAAAAAATGCAAAAATAATAAAAGTTGTTCATCATTTTTTTTGGACTGAACTCCCAGACATATGACCGAAATTCGGGAATACAGGCCCGAACATTGTTTATTTATTCGGGAACAGGTAACTGAACATTTCTGATATGCTCGGGAATAGATAACCAGCTCTGACAATGGTCAAACCAAAGAAAAGAATGAGATGGCAGAGATCACAATCCAAACCAGTCTTGCTAATATATTCTAAGGATTGAATATTAAAAAACCTATATTTATTTTCTCACTATAAGGTCATAAACAAGTACGTAGAGATGAAATAGTAATCACTTTCGTGGGTTTTGTTAAGGTTTTTGGGAGAGAGATTTTTTAGAATGTTTTTCACAAGAATAATTTTTGTATTATTTGAGGGGAGAAATTTTTTTTAAGAGTTTTAAAATTTATAAATAGAGGTCCAAAGAAATGAAAGGTCCAAAATAATTAATAGAATGCTAATAATAACACTCTAAAAAAATCACTTTTTTTTTCCCACTTCATTTTGATTGGCAGGCACCTCTCACCCTTGTGTCGTCTATCACACCCTTCTTCTCCAACCCATTGCCCAAAAATGCTAGGGATACTTACACATTTACTAACAATCTTACTAACACACTCACAAGTTTTGATAAGATTAATCATCACTTGGTATGGGACCCCTTTATCTCTTTTCCTTGTCCGCCACTATTCCTTCATTTCCCCAACTTACTGACACCCAGGGTCGGCCCTGGGCATAGGCTCACCAGGCCATGACCTAGGGTCCCTCAAAATAGATTCAAAAAAGGGGCCCATTCCTATTATAATTTAACATAATATATTAGGTATATTTTAAGTTAAAAAAAATTGAAAAAGGTCCAAACTAATTTAAAATAAATTAAACCATTCAAAAATTGAAAGCCCATTCAAAAAATTAGCATTGTTATCCATTGACAATAGATCCAAAAAAGGGCCTCCCTCCTATTATAGTTTAGTATAATATATTCAGTATGTTTTAAGTCAAAAAAAAAAAATAAGGAAGACCCAAACTAATTTAAAATAAATTGATTCGTAAAAAATATTGAAAGGCCTATTTAAAATAATTAGCGTTGTTATCAATTGAAAATGATTTTGTAAAAAAATAAGATTATGCAAGTATGATTGATTTATTTACTTCTAAAAATGTAAGAAAAGTGAGAATCAAGCCATACTTATTAATTGTTGTAATTTTGATACAATTTTTTTGTCATTTACCTTCAATTTTTTTTTTTTCATTGAATGAAGAAAAAAAATATGAAGGGCCCCAAAAATTTATCAACTGATTATCGGTTTTGGGTCTTGAAAATCTGAGGGTGGGACCTGCTGACAACTTCTCATTCTTTCCTTAGTCTATACTCCTATTCCGTTAGTTATAACTAACATATGATCAGAACGGATAACATTCTAAAAATTCGGGATTTGAATTAAACAATTAAAATGTTAAGGTTTGATTTGTTATCATGATCAATCTTTGGATTTTTTTTTATTTTTTATTTTTCGTAATGACTCCAAATAAAAACATAAAAAATGAAAAATAAACATAACATTGCTTGGATGCTGCAGCTTGCATTACACATGTTAGCGTACTCCAAAAATGAAAAATGTAAATTACACCATTAATGTATATAATTTAAACGAAATGTCACTTTATGACCTGCTTTTGATTAGCCAGATTATAGTATAGGATTAATCCATTGGACTTATAGTTTGTTGTTTGGTTGCAAATTTTTTGTTATCTGGATTAAATTTTAATAGACATTCTATCCAACAAAATTGATGAATTTTTTACTACTTACAATTAATAATTCGGCACAAATTTATAATTGAGATTATATATATCCATAGTTATAGCAAAACAATATTGAGTAAGAGCGAATTATTTATTTCACTAATCGAGCTGAATAATCAATTCTATACTAATTCCACAAATTGTTATTCATCCTAGTAATCAAACATAGCCTTAATCTCTTTCGTTTTAATATGAACAATTTAAATTCAACCCTTTCAATTTTATTGGAATGCAATCTCTCTATCACTGACTATTAAAATTTAAATGAATTTTGATTATTTCTTTGGAAAAAAATATTCACATTGTAAAGTGTAACCCCACATGAAGTTGCATTTACAGAAGGCCTCATTTGAGAAATTAACTATTTTAGTTAGTTTTTTTTACTTTTTAACTATTTTATGAAATGAAAAAAAAAAAATTGCGTTTGAAATGATTTGTAATTTTTTTTATAATTTTTTGAATAGTAAAAAGTTATATAAATTAAGATAGGAAAATCAGTACATCATTAGAGAGAAAAGAAAGCAACTCATGGAGAGGCAGAACAATCCAATTAACAGCTAATAACAAACGTGCATGAGCATGTGCAAGCCAATGTGCCATTTGTTGTTAGTTCTCCTATTTCAATGCTCATGGACTAGATTAGTTTGGTTTGGTAGTGAGCTGGGCCTAAGGATTGAAATAGGGGGTCCATATCCATGAGGGAGGTGGTGCCAATGTGCCATTTGTTGTTAGGTTGTCCATCCTGCCATTTGTTGCTAGTTCTCCTATTGCAATCCAATTCTGCTGCAGAATGGACCACCTCCCTCATGGATATGTGCTCAAATAAAACGGATCGGTTAGACATTGGCCTAATTTGAGAACATATTCTGGGTTAAAATGGATCTGTTTAACTTTTTTTGAGTTACATTATTTCTCTAATTTTTTACACATTTTTTTAAAAAAAGTCAAAAAAAAAAAAAAAAAAATCAAAAGCCTGCTTTTAACTAATTTTCCAAATAGCCATGCTAGGTATCATGAAAAACTTTTCATGAAAATAATCATGAAATATTTGTGACACTTGAATTACACTTGGAATAAAGTACCACACACTAATTAAGGTAATCCAAAAATCATAACTCTTTCATGATCATTTTCATTAACTTTTCTCTTTCCCAAAACAACCCATTATTGGGAAAATTGCGGTGGTGAGTTGGTGCATTAGAAATCTCGGAATGATTGGGTTTTTAATCACAACCCTTCAAATCCCACGCTAACTCCGCAGCAAGCGAAGGCGTATTGGAGAGAGAGTTGTATTGGAGAGAGAGTTGTTCTAAATCACCCTTGTGTTCGTCAGCCAAGTGACGTGGCAACAAATTCTACTATTTGCAGATGGAGTCCTCTAACTTGGGGCCAGTTTAAGCTTAACTGTGATGCAAGTTTTTCAAGAGATGGGTCCAAGGCGTCATTGGCAGTTAGAAACTGGAAAGGAAAGTTGGTGGATGGAAAAACCTCTAGTGTTCATGTTTCATCAACCTTGCAAGGTGAAGCCGAGCGGTTCGACTGGCGCGTGCCTTTTCTCAAACCCTCAATCTAAGGCAAGTTCGTGTGGAAAGTGATAATAAGTCTGTCATCGATTTGAGTGTATCTGAATTGGCACCTCCATGGGATTGCCAGGCCATCATTCATGATATTCGATCTGCGAAATATAGGGGGAGTATCTCGTTTAGTTGCTCGCCAAGAAATGCAAATAGTGCCGCCCATTGGTTAGCGTCTTGCAATCTAAAGGGTATGCTTCCTCTCGGCCGGATTGTCCATCCTCCCCACGAGCTTAGGACTATATTATCTCTAGATTCTTTGTAAGCCGCTTGGCGTGTACTTGATATAAAATAAAACAAAATAAATTTAAAAAAAAGAAGAAAAGAACTGAACTTCAAAAGCCAATTATGGGAAAGCAAAGCACCCAACATCATAAATAACTGCCATACCATGTCACGAGGAGAAAAAACGATTGAATATATGGTTTTTTAAGAAAAATAGATTAATTTGATGTTTAAGATTTAGAGAATCCCATTTTAAATTCACAAATTTATCCATAATAATGTAGTAAGGAATGTAGGCCTTATATCATTAGTTGTATAACTAATAAAAAGTGACACTAATCATGCCATCCCAATATGGATATCAAATTGTAAGAACTTTATATGGGTCTCAAAAATTTCTTCCAAACATATAGAATCAAACAAACAAACAAACACTTTTATTTGCCTTAATACTCTTTCATGCTTTGCATACATCAAAACAATAATAGTAGAATGAATGATTTAATCATTTCTACAGATAGAGCATCTAGAATTACAACAACATGGATATCACCAGCAGCCATGGGAAATAAACAATACTTTACTTCTAATGAATTTGGGATCAACAAACAAACAAAAATCACACTTTTAATTAATATGTAAGAAAGCCAACAAACCCACAAAAATGACCCAGAAAGTTAACCAGAAAATTGCAATGGTTTAGATCTAATTGTTCTATATTGAGAGCTACACAAGAGACGAATCTTAGTCATCCATCGCTCTTTCTGATCATTTTTCTAGATAAGGTTTTTAGATGCCTAGCATTTTTTTTTTTACTTTTTATTTTATTTTCTATAATTTTAAATTGAATATCAATTTAGTTCTTCTATCTAAATTAAGGGTTAAAATTACTTAGTGTACACGTAAATAAAATTAACCAAAATTTAGACAAAATAATTAAATTAAAATTGAATTTAAAGGGTAAGGATCAAATTATACAAATTAAAATATTAGGAACTAAAAAGTATTTAATTTGAATTTAAAAATATAATACTATTTTATTTTATTTTAAAAAAAAAAAAATTAACTTAGGTCACCAAAAAAAAAAATTGAAAATTCTAAAAAGGGAATCCCCAAACGCACACTTACATTTTTTTTAAAAAAAAAATTAACTTAGGACAACAAAAAAAAAATTGAAAATTCTAAAAAGGGAATCCCCAAACGCACACTTACAAGATAAAGAAGAAACCAAGAAGGGAGCACACATAAAGTGAAGAAGAAACGTGTCTATTAGTAGTTGTTGGTGCTGCTGAAGATCTTGTTTTTCCGGCGCCGGCCCCGGCGCCGGCGCGAGATCTGGGCACAAATCGCATTCCCTTCTTGATTTGAACTCGAATTTTGCTACTATTATCAGTATCAAATTCAGTGGGTAGGCTCAGAATTCTTCTTCCAAGCGATGCCAACACTCTTTGATCTTCATGTTCATGTTGATGGGCTGAAGTTGGATGAAAGTGGGATGCTAAGACGAGAACTAGGATTGATACAGACAATATTATATATCTCATTGAAGTCATGTTTGTCTGCTAAGCAAATAAAAAGAAAGATGGATTTGCTGAATACAAAAAAAGGGTATATGAAAATATTGGGTGGATTGGGTTGTGGAAGATGTGAGATATAAAAAGAGATGAGTAAAGTTGCAGTGGGTGAGTGGGACACCCACCATAATTATGGGGTAATTTGGAATAGCTTTTAGTTTCTAATTTATTTTAGGTTATATTATATTTCATATTTTTTATATATAAAATGATAAAAAAAAATTAAAAAGGTAATTTTTTATTAACTTTTCAAATCATCCCTATATTTATAGTGCCGTTTTAGGAATCAAAATAAAAAGTCATGTTTTTGTCAAAAGGTCCAAAAATGCAAGTGGCAAAAACGCAACAAAATTGATTTGAAAAGTTATAAAAACGCAAGTGTGAAATTACAAATTAAGGCCTATGATAAAAAAATAAATTTCTTATGTTAGGTAAGGGTATTTTGGTCATTTTAATTTGATTTGACACCATAAACAAATATTAAACTAAAAAGTCAAAAGTCTGTTTTTTACCAACTTCCCAAATCACTTTTCAAAAAACTAAAAAGCTTGATAAAAAGCCAAAAGTCAACTTTTACCAACTTTTCAAAACACCCCTATGATCAGAAATAAATAATAACTCAGATATTATATTCTAATTCCTAAGACCAGGTCTATCCAGGATTATTTTAGAAAGATGATTAAAAGTTAATTTTTTTAATTTTTCTTAAAAAAATATGTAAAAAATATAATAAATAATGCGTCTCAAAATAAGTTAAAAATTAAAATATTACTATTAACTATTTTCTCAAAATAACCCATAATGCAATTAACTTAAATTGATTATAACTTTTCTGTTCTAAAAATTTGTTATTAACTCATAACTTATAATAAAACGTATTAAATTAAATAGCACCAACATTGGTTGGTAGCTTCACTCACAAACTATAAAACTTAAGTAATGGGGTGGCTCGGTGGTCAAAATTTGTACATTTCATTTGAACAATTCTAATCGTATAAGCTAGTATGATACGATTTTGTCAAGAGTTATATTAGTTGACATATTATTTTTACAGTTTATGATACACACTCTATTTAGGTTACATATCTGAGAGGGTAATTTTTGGGAAAAATTGGGCCGAGCTGCGAGTTGGGCTTTGAGACCCAAAACGCGAAGGACTGAGTAAAAAGCCGTTAAGGATACTCCGGCCCAGGAGAGCAAGGGTACTCCGGCAAAGTTACTCCGGCCCAAGGAGGTGAAATTACTTCGGCTCACAAGTGATAAAGTTACTCCGGTTCAGAGATGGTAGATTTGTTCCGGTTCTGAGGAGATGTTGACTTACTACGGTCAAAAGAGATGAGGTTACTTCGGTTGAGAGGTTGTAAATGTACTTCGGTCCTTGAACAGCTTGGAGTTAGACCGGTCTTGAAGTCTACATCGGCTTTAGAGGTGTACCGGTCTTGGAGTTATACCGGTCAAGAGTCGTTGTTTCGGTCCAAGCACACCATGGGTTGAGCAGAGGAGAATCGAGATATGGTGTGGCGAGCAAAACCGAACTAAGGATAGGTCGGCCTAATCTAAGGCTCGGCATAGCTAATGTTACTTCGGTCAAAATAGTAATTCGGCTATAGAGAAAACCATCCCACTTGGTTTAAGCAGTGGGGGAGGGTGTAAAAGGATAAGCATTATCCTTAGGAGAATGAATCCTAGGAGGACTCTGCATGGAGAAGTACAAGTCCTACTAGGATTGTGCCACGGGAAACTTATAAAAGCTCACAAGCATCACCTTGGAGGAGGTAATTGAACACAACCTTTTTGAGAACATAAAACTTTGTCTATTTGTCAAGCTTACTGACTTAGGCATCGGAGAGGTTTCCGGCACACACCCGCCGGCTAGCTCACGTTTGTGTTTTCAGGTGACAAAGCGACGTCGTACGGAGGAGCGTGGACTTGGTCAACAGGATTATACGAGGAGAATTATTTCCTCCCCGTACAATATCATATATACTTTTAGTTATAATTTTTATATTTTTGGTTATAACATATTTTGTTATTGGTTATGACACATTGTGATATTACTTATGATATTATTTTAATTATAATTTAAAAGTTATTTATTTATATCTCGTATGATCTGTACGAGCATGAAATAATCTTCTCATATAATCCTGTGGATCAAGTTTGCACTCCTCCAAACATCGTCGCTTTACTTCCTGAAAACACAAACGTGAGCTAGCCAGCATGTATGTGCCGGATACCTCTTCGATGCCTAAATCAGTAAATAGACAATAGACAAAAAGTTCTGTGTTTTTTAGAATAAAAGATGTGATATCTGTACATAGTTTTGGGCATAAGCTTTTATAGATTTCACCTAACACAATCCTAGTAGGATTTTAATTCTCCCTATTAGAGTCCTCCTAGGAATCACACTCCCAAGGATAAAGGTTATCCTGCTAACTTCTTACTCACTGCTTATCTAAGTGAGATAGTTGCAACTCTTACTTCGGCAGGCACAAGACATAATCGTGCTTACACAGCTCGGGGCTAATTAAGCCAATTCAGCCAACATAGTCTTTGAAATCGCCTCTGCCCAGCTACCCTATAGCATGGTCTCATTCAAATAGGAACCTCAGTCGTCAACCGCTAGACCAGACTGACAGCCCACCTTTAACCAGACTAACGCGACCAAGGCTACCGAGATAATTACCTTAGTCCATGGCTCAGCCCAAGACTATATCTATCTCGGTCCATTTCCACGGACTTGCTTACCTCAGCCCAATTTATGCATAAATTACCCTCTCATAATGTTTGGTTATAACTCAATTTTTTTAGTTACAACTCTCTTAGTATTGGGTTATGCCATTTGTGATAATTAAACTTACAAATGATATAACTTGCATATGGTATAATATTTTCATATTTTTATACATCTAATTTTCATATCAATTTTGATTATTTGTTCTATTTCTCAAAAGTAGCGATCATGTTAATTTCGTTGATATAATAAAAGGAAAATGTATGGTAGCTTGAAAATGTTGGGGCTTAAATAGCTCGAAGGCACCTTCTTTTCTTTTTTTTCTTTCCCTTCTCCTTTTGTTCTCTCTGAAATAGACAGAAGAAGGAGAAAAGGAAAGGAGGAAGAAAAGAGAAGAAGAAAAGAAGAGAAAGGAAACACATAGAGAGAGATCTATACACAGATCTATGTGTATAGACATAGATTTGTGTATACACACAGAGAAGGGTCGCAATGGGTTTGCGACGGTGATGGCAGTGTCGGTGGGTGGAGGGGTTTGCGACGTTGATGGTGACGTCGGTGGGTAGAGGGAGTTCTTTTTTTTTTCGTTTCCCTTCCCCCTCTATTTTCTCTTTGAAACAGACAGAAGAAGGAAAAAAGAAGGAGAGGAGGAACAGAGAAAGAAAGAGAGAGAGTGTGTGTGTAGTTTATTTTTCGTGCTCCTTTCGGATACGACTAGCCCTACAGTTCGGACTCCCGTGGTTCTAAATCTGATTTTACAAGTGCAATGTGAAATAGTGAAAACTCAAAAGAGTCCAAATCCGACAATTCTTTTGGATAATTGATTTGAATCATAAATGTCAAAAATAGATTTCTTTGTCAGATTACAAAGTTGCCACCTAAATATTTTTGAAAAATTTAGAAAACCTGAGACTCATGCCAAAGGCCACTTATTCGTCATCACCAAATTGTCTCAGTTCAAGAAATTAGGTATGAGAGGAAAAGGTCATGAATTGAGCACCCCACTCGCCCGATCAAAGATCGGCCTCTACTAATCATGATGTGATCATTATTTACATTATATGCTCTTGTTATGATTATTAGACTAACATTTACTATGTGACCCACATAAGTATAGACTAATTTGCGAAGATTAGAACACTTTGATTTCATGTTTCTTTTGAAAAAATTATTTTTTTGATACTCGTCACTTGAAAATGTGAGTTTGTATATTAATCAATTTGTTCCAATTTTGGAAATTAGCCTCCATCCACAAGCATTCAAGCAGATATATCATTTAAGCAACTAGCCACATGGAAATATGCTCGGCATGGCAACATAAACATTCGATGCAAAATGTTAAAACTCAAAATTGCTCACCTAGTACTCCAAGCCAAAACAAAGCAAAATAATTAGAAAATATGCATGCTCCTAACTAATACAATATGACTAAATGCAATGCACATGTTATGTAGTTTTAATAGGCTCGGCTATGAACATGGCATATGATTCCATTCAAGACATGTGATGAATCACGTATTCAAGTAATGAATTTAAACATTTGGTTAGTATGATGAGCCGAACCTTGGATGCATACAAAACAATGGATGTGAATCATAAGAATGCTAATTTGAAAAATGATGTTCTATACTAACCATCGTAAGCAAGTAAAAGAGAAAAATGCGTGGAGTTGGAAGACATACAACTTATTACATGTTTGCCCTCACAGAAGAGGGTGCAAATCAATGTTCGAGAGTCCAAATAAATTAACTATTACAAAGCCGAATGAATTAAGTAAAGAATTAACTAGCTAGCTACTCTATTACAACAAGGATAATAATGAGAAATAAACTAGTTATCTAAGTTAACTAGCTATAACAATTACACATAAACAATAAAGATAATTACAATAATAATTACAACAAGACTAATTGACTACAACAATAATAATTAATTACAACATTACTCAGAGCATTAATTTACAACATTGATGTAAGCAAGGATGCACAAGGGTTGCATGCACAGTGTCCAAGAACTGCTCTATCTAATTAAGCCTGCTATGTTTCACCTTCAGCCATTGCCTTCTGTTTTTTGCAAAACATACTGCTGACCAAACATTGATAGTCGGCCAGCCCCCAATGAAGCTCAGTCGGACCTAAATAAGGCCGGTTGTGCCTTAATTTTATGCAAAATCCTGTTTTGTGCTATAAAGTGAAAACAGCGCAGCCAGAGTTACTCTGAACTCTATTTATCCCTCTCACACTTCTTTGTCATGGGAAGCCTTAAGAGAAGGTTGGAATTGTTTCCAAAACCATCAATGAGCAATTTGTTTGTTTGATGATTTAGGCCACAATTTGGACAAAATTCAATGAATTCAATGAATAACAACCATGCTT